CTAATAAAGGAAACCAGTTTTCTACAAATTTGGGGTATATTTCCATTGTGGGTGGGAGTGTGGCTAAGCTGGGCCAGCAGCACTGCTAAGGTGATCCTGCTGGGGCGGCATCCCTGATGGATTAAAGTACCCTGGCCCTGCTCCTACACCGGACAGACACCGACCTGTCTTGTGTTGGGGGGGGGGATTATGTTTAAAGGCATCAGGGAGGCTGGGCCAGCAGCAGGGCTAAGGCAATCTTGCTGAGCAAACCTCCCTGGCGGCTGTAAGCATCCCACCTCCTCTCCTACACCTCACAGGCAGCTGCTTGTCTGGTGTGGAAGGGGGAGGGGGGAGGAGTATTAGAAGCCATTGTGGAGGAAGAGCTGGCAGGATCACTAAGGCGTTACTGCTGGGGCAGACTCCCTCATGGCTTTAAGCACTCTGGAACCACTGCTGCACCTGACAGACAACCACCTGTTAGGTGTAGGAGGTGGGGGGAGTGTGTTGGAAGCCATCAGAGAGCCTGGGCCAGCAGCATTACTGCACCTCACAGGTGGTTGTTGGCCATGCCTGATTTCCTCAACTGTCATTAGCTCTGTGCAGTCTTCTGTAACTGTTTTTTTTTTACCTCAGAACACTGAGCTCTTCAGCTGACCAATCAGAGAGAGGGGGGTGCAATGAGGCAGCAGCTTGGCAGCCACATAGAAATCAATGGGGGGCACATTTTACCCCTTTTGACCACCTTAGGTGTCGAATTTCTAAAATTCCCTTCTTAGTGAGCACCTACGTCATGGTAGGAGCGCTCTTCCCGAATTTTGTGTTTCTAGGTTCAGTGATTTGGACTGGGTGTTGATTTTACGGTGAAGGGACTTTCTTTTATATATATATATAGATATACCATTCTAGTTCATAGTACAGCAGCAGATCAGTTTATGAGGAGAAGGGGTAATCTCAGGTGTCAACAGTCAGAATTTGTTCCCCCCCCAATGTAAATTGATTGAGCAAGACTCGCACTGTTTGCAGTGTCCATAAATGGGGAAGTATGGAGTCCAATTTTGCAATCCACAGATTTATGCAACAGCAAAGCTAAAGTAGTGCCTGCTTCCTGGGTGATTTTTTCTGTCTGTCTTAATTGTTCTAAAGAGAGATTTTCTGCCCTTCTTGGCTGGCCTTCCTCACTTCTTTTCAGATCAAATAGATTGCTACAGTTGAACACAGCAGCCTACGTCATTCAGGTAAGCAACACTGGTTTTAGACTAATGCTAGATTATTATCCCATTGGCTGTTCTCCCCGCCCCCCTTTCAAACTTCCCTACTCAGATTTAATTTGTGCCTCCTAAGCTTCGGACGGTTTGGGTTACACAATTAGTTGAATAGTCATCATCATATTATAGATCCAGGTGGGCAGCCGTGTTGGTCTGAAGCTACAGAAGAAAGTTAGAGTCCAGTGGCACCTTTAAGACCAACAACGTTTATTCAAGGGGTGAGGTTTCGTGTGCACGCACACTTTGTGCGTGCACACGAAAGCTCACCCCTTGAATAAACGTTGTTGGTCTTTTTTTTTTTGACAAAACCTTTTATTTTTGGATATAATAGCATGCTTAACATTTGCTTTCAGTCAACAAATACCCATATTCCCCTCCTTCCCTCCCCTTCTAGTGGCTTCCTGCAGTGCTCTACCCTTCTTCCCTCATACTCTTGCATTTATTTCACAATTCTATTCTCAGTTACAAGCAATGTTCCCTCTAAGCTGTGGAGTCTTGTGAGCAAAAATTCTACTTTGTGAGTGACTGGCATTAAAGTTGTGAGCGAGCAATTTGGCTGCTGCATAAACTAGTTTGCTCTGGAGCCATCCTTCCTGAGCTAAGACAAAAATGTGTGAGCCGGAGGCTAAAAAACTGTGAGCTAGCTCACACTAACTCAGCTTAGAGGGAACATTGGTTACAAGATAACAATTCTATCAATATTGTTCTAGATACAATAAGTTTTGTTTCACATCCCAGTTTTTTTCTCTAGATAGTCCTTAAAGTCCTTCCATTCTTCAAAAAATTCTTGATCTTCTTTGTTGTTCAATTTTCTTGTTATTTTATCCATTTCTGCCATAAACAGCACTTTTTGTATCCATTCTGTGGTCTCTGGTATTCTCTCTTGTTTCCAGCACTGTGCATACACCATCCTTGCCGTCGTTATCAGATACCAAAACATGGTCTTTTTTGTTACATTTAACTCTTCCAACTTCAGTCCTAGCAATAAAATCTCTGGTTCTTTCTTAAATGTACATTTAAAAATTTTCTGCATTTCAGTATGAACTTTTGACCAAAAATCTATCGCTTTTTCACATGTCCACCACATATGGTAAAATGAACCTTCATGTTTCTTACGTTTCCAGCACATTTGACATATTTTGATTCATATTTGCAATTTTCTTCAGTGTCATATACCATCTGTACATCATTTTGTAACAATTTTCTTTTACATTAGTACATGTTGATATCTTAATAGAATTTTTCCACAAATATTCCCAAGATGACATAGTCACCTCCCTGTTCATATTAACAGCCCACTTAAGCATTTGTTCTATAAACGTTGTTGGTCTTAAAGGTGCCACTGGACTCTAACTTTGTTCTATCGTCCTATTATAATTCCAATATGTAACTGGGTTCATTCTTAGGTTAAAGTTTTGTGTATGGTTATTGGTGGGCTCCAGTTTGAATTGGTTAGTGAAAACATTTAAAGGATTTAGGGCCTTTCCGCACTTGGATCTCACCCCTAGTTTTATCAGAGTTCAACTTGCGACACAATACCTTGCATTTATCCGAGGTTATAACAGCATCCGTTTATCCCGGGACAAGTGTGGGGCACAACTGGGGTGACCTCAATGTAATGTGGAAACAAAAAATACTTGAGTTGTAGTGTAGAATGTAAGTTCGGGGACAGGGTTAAACCAGGATTTAAGGTCTCCTGTGGAATCACCCTTAAGGTTCCTTTACTGATTTTTTAAATGTTGATGCTGGTTATAAAGCTTTTTCTGTCTGAAAATAAGCATTCCCTTCCTTCCTAACTATTGGGGGGGGCGGGTTCCACAGCTTTTCCTTATTCAATACCTCAATACCTTGAAAAGGTTGGGGGATATTTAAATTTACCCGACTGGTTAACACTGCAATCCTATACAGAGTTAAATCCTTCTAAGCGCATTGTAATTCTTGTTCGATTGCCCTGTAAAAGGCAGGATTATTTTGATGGCTTGACAGCCCACACCCTCACTAACATGTATACAGATAAAGTGTGAAGTTAATTGATATCTACTGTGATTACCAGAAGTCTGAAGGGGGGATATCTGTACATCAGGCCTTCACAAATGTAGTTAAGCTACTCCCACAACAGCTAGGAAGCTACCGTTTGGTCCATACATGTAATCCAAGGTTCCTTAATTACTACAGAAGTCTGAAAATTTAATATCTGGGCATCTCTCCCCAATAGGAAGAGATGAGATATACCCTAAAAGAGTTAAGCTACTTTCACACACTGTATCAAAAGTGAAGTGTTCAAGGCACCAGATTACGACACCAGCATAAAAATAGGACATCTATAAATCTCACAATTCAAACTGGGGGTAAAAGGTTTACCTCATGACGAAGGCTAGCACTCCACACCAGGGCAAGCAAAGGTACCCCCGGAACTCACACCATTGAATCAGGCCACGCCCATAGCTGTGGTGGGGCATTTTGGGACTCTGCCCCCCCAATGTGAGGCATGCCCCACAACAGCTGCTGCCCCTCTCCCCCTCCCTCCCCTCCCGTGACATTAAAAGGGCCTCCCTGCTGATCGGTGGGAGCACGACCAAGGAAGACCCTGCGGAGGACGGCAATGGCAGACCACCTCCGCTTACCATAAGGCAGCTGCAACCTGAGAGCACCTACGTACGTATTAAATACCCAGAGCAAAATGCAAAAATTTTTTGAAGTGAAGAGTGTTGTCTTTTGATGCAGACGGGGAAATTCCACAGTCTATAGTGCTTTTAGTTGTATTTGCAGAGGAACAATTGCACATGAACGCAGTTGAGGAATGCAGAGCCTCCAACTAAAGATGGCATCGGACGGATGACTTCCATATTCAATATGCATGTTGACGACCATCTGAATCATGACCGCAGTTCTGCATACAAAAACCTGCTTCCACATATGGATCTCCTTATTTGAACATGGGACACAGGCATTTAAATCGCTTTCCCAAGTTGTTTCATTGGCATGGTTCCCTACCAAGGGTCCCTGGGAACTGTAGTTCTGTATAGGGACTGGACATCTCTGTCAACATTTTCCTCAGCTACACGGAAAAACAGAATTCCCAAGACACTTTGTGTGATGCTCTCACCTCAAGTTAGTTCTTCTAACTTGTTCCAGATTATCATGTGGACGTGGCCATATTTTCAGCCAACATGGGGCAAGCACATTGATCAGTAGGTCGCTGTTTTTAATAGTTTGAAACCAGGTTCACAACTGACCACTTGGAGATATTTAAACTGCTGGTTAGGAGCCTTCTGACACACTTCCGGAGATGTCAGATGGTGGGGCATATGCAAATAAGTTATGCTAATTAATTATACTAATGAGCTCCTGCACCTTTTTTTCTACGAAATGACCCCTGAGAATTCCCAAGACACTTTGTGTGAAGCTCTCACCTCAAGTTAGTTCTTCTAACTCGTTCCAGATTATCATGTGGACGTGCCCATAGTTTCAGCCAACATGGGGCAAGCACATTGATCAGTAGGTCAAAAGGTTCGAGAATCTCATCTTCAGAGATTAAACAAAGGTCCCTCACACACGGAACAGCATAAGAACATAAGGGAAGCCAATGTTGGATCAGGCCAATGGCCCATCCAGTCCAACACTCTGTCACGCAGTGGCCAAAAATACCAGGTGCCATCAGGAGGTCCATCAGTGGGGCCCGCAGAGTAGTGACTGAGCAACCGTCAACAATGCTCATCCAATACTTCCTTGATTGTCTCTAAGGTCTCAGCGATGTATCTGCTCCAATTTCTCATGGCCCTGGTGGCGGGAACTTCTCTCGGGTGTGCAGCAGCCTCTGAAGTAATCAGACCTGAAGCTGACACATGTACAGTGCTGGCATGTGGCACTCCCGGACGCGATGGTTTACCAGGCAGAGACGGTGCCAAAGGAGAGAAAGGAGACCAAGGTATCATGTTTGGAAGTTGCTGCCACCACATGATTATATGGTGTGATGTGTATACATAGAAATGGTTTGCAGCTTTTGAGAGTATTATTACCTGAAAGTCCTCCAGAGTTTCTTATTCCATTTCTGTGATCCGGATGTTTTGGATGTAGCAGCCTGAACGGCCTTCAGTGGTCTGATATTGTCAGATCTCAGAAGGTAAGCGGGGTGAGCCCTGATTAGTACTTCAGTGAGAGATCGCCAAGGAAGACTGGGGTTGCTGTACCAAGGGAGGCGATCACCAACCGTCTGTGCTCATCTCTTGCCTTGAAAATCCCATGGTCCTGGGACCGCCATGAGTCAGGCGCGACAGCACACAATTATTATTATTATGTTTTGATTATATCTGATGCTGGGGACTTGGGACAAAATGGACCTCCCTCCCTGCTGCCCTTCAGTCTCCCCTCCTTGACAGCCAGCCTGGTATAGCGGTCAGAATGTCAGACGAGGATCTGGGGGACCCAGGTTCGAATCCCCACTTTGCCATGAAAGTTTGCTGAGTGGCCTTGGGCCAGTCACACACTCTCGTCTCCCTCAGGCTGTTCCATAAGGTGGGTGGGGGGGCCAACATAGAGAAGGCACTGTGTACAGGCTGTTATTGATTTTGCCCATTTGCAGGCTGGCATCTGCAGGAGGCCAACCTGGATGTTACGTAGAATCTGGGCACGCTTCCTGCTGCCAGTTTGGCCCATTAACCGTCCTGGATTCCCAGCTTTCACTAAAAACAAAAATCAAGTCTCTGGGCCTTCTGTATCCAGAGGGGGGAAAGTGCAGAGTTTTCTGCCTAATTTATGCTGAGGATACCGTGGAGACCTGCCCCAAGGCAGGATATGCTGACTGTAGGGTAGCCAGCCCTGGATTGGAAAATACCTGGAGACTTTGAGGGTGGATCTGGCAGATGGCGGGGTTTGGGGAGGGGAGGGAGGAGAGGGACCTCAGCGTAGGGTTCCCAAACGGCGGCGGGGGATCCGCGCGTGTTCGCAGGATCGCTGCCGCGGGGGACAGCGATCCGCGCTGCACCGGCGTCGCCAGGATGTGACGCTATGTGTCGCCCTGGCAACGGGACTCCAAACAGCCCCGTTGCCAGGGCGACGCATAGCGTCACATCCTGGCGACGCCGGTGCAGCGCGGATTGCTGTCCCCCGCGGCAGCGATCCTGCGAACACGCGCGGATCCCCCGCCGCCGTTTGGGAACCCTACCTCAGCATGGTAGAATGTCACAGAGTCCACCCTTCAAAGCAGCCATTTTCTCCAGGGGAGCTGATCTCTGTTACCTGGAGATCAGTCGTAAAAGCGGGGAGATCTCCAGGCCCCACCTGGAGGCTGGCAGCCCTGGCTGACTGTCATGACCCCAGGGGGTCTCCACCTTCTGCCGCCACCACCCTGGACTTCGGTCCCTTGAGAAGGCCCAGGGTACCTTCCCAAAGCCCTTCAAATTGCCCCTTTTGTAGCTGAGAAACAGAAGCATGATGACCAAGGCAGAGAAACAGTGAAACAGAAAGGGTTTATTATCACAAACAAGACAAGGTGCTTTAAAAGGTATAACAGTGCTGAAAAGGCAAAATAAACACAAAGCTAACGCAGCTACCTATTACTCCTAACTGGTTACTACTTCCAGGCCCACAGGCTGCAGCCTTTTTTGTTTTTTTCCGAAAAATTGGAAAAATTGGAAAAAGAAAAGGAAAGGGAAAAAATTGATTATGGAACGTTTATTTTAACATGATGAATAAAATATTTTAAGACAAGGTGTTCAAATATTTTCCAAATAATTTCTAAAACATATATATATGGTATCAGATTGATCTAATTTCTGTGCACTGAGGACAAGCAAGTCCTAGGTTACAAACTGAACTCTCCAATGCAAGAACAAGATGCATTTCTTCCTCTAGGAGGTGCTATTGTCAGAACAAAATAAAAAGCTTTCAGTTTTGTGTTTTTGCATGTGGGTGGGTATTCTATTTGTAATAATTGTTTGGATACACTATATTTTTAATATGCTAGTTGTGATAATTTCATGCCAAGTAAAAATGTCCATAGTCATATTTTATGTTCCTAAAGTAACAGAATGACTTTCAGTGTAGAAAAGACAAAAGAAATGCTAATGTAGCATTTTTTTCAATTTTTCCAAAAATTTCCGTTTTCCCCCGGGAAAAAACTGGGAAAAACCCGGGTTTTTCCCCAAGCTTCAAAATTTCCGGAAATTTTACATCTCTAGTCACGATAGAGCCAGGGGGCCGGGCAAAGAGGGAGAGTCAAAAGGCGAGTCCAAGAGTCAGCCAGAGGGAGCAACTAGAGTCCAAGCAAACAGTTCCAAATACACAGAGCCAAGCCGTCGTCTCACATTAGCAATAGTCAGAGTCCAGTATCGTAGTCAAGAAGCATAGCCAGGGGTCAGGAGCCAGGTAAAGGCAAAGGCTCCCTTGCTCGAAAGCCAGTCGAATCCGACTCTAGGGTTGCGGTGCTCATCTCCGTTTCAAAGCCGAAGAGCCAGCGCTGTCCGAAGACGTTTCCGTGATCCCATTGCCGGCATGACTAAACAACAAGGCACACGGAACGCTGTTCCCTTCCCACCAAAGTGGTACCTATTTATCTACTTGCACATACCCTGTAGTCTTCCAGGGACCAGCCTAAAACATCCCTGTTTACCCAGGCTTTTAGTTGACATTTTATTGCAGCTCTTTTAGTAGGAGCTATTTCCTGCATGTTATTCTAATCCTTTTGAATTTATTTATTTTCATTTATTCTCCATTTTTTCTCCCCACTGAGGACCCAGTGTACCACATTACCCCCTTCTCCATTTTATCCCTACAACAATCCTGCAAGGTAGGTTAGGCTGAGAGCATGACTGGTCCAAGGTCACACAGCGCGCCAGAATGTGGATTTGAATCGGAGGCTGGTTCTGCATCTGGCATTGGCTCCACATGTTCTCAACCCTGGGGGAAAGGTGCAGCTCAAAACCACATTAAAATACCCCGGGCCAACACCATACTGACTGCAAACTCACTCCTGAATGGCCATAAATCTATGCAGAAGGTACCATAAAACCTGATGGTCGAAGAATGTGAAAGCTGCATGCAGTGTAGAGGGTACCATAAAACCCGACGCTCAAAGAAAGTGAAAGCATCATGCAATGTAGAGGGTGCCATAAAATCCAATGATTAAAGAAAGTGAAAGCAGCATGCAATGCAGAGGGGAATTTCTGTTCCGACAATGGAGGGAAAAGCCAGTGCGGAACAGCCCTCTAAAGTCTCCCAGGTCTTAGTCCAATGCACATTATTCTGGTATTTAGGGTGGCTTTATTACTAGAGATGTCAGTCTCATGGTGTCATCTTTCACGGACTAGGCTAAAACATCCTCGTTTACCCAGGCTTTTAATTGACATTTCATTGAATCTCTTTTGGAAAGGGATATTTCCCGCATGCCAATACTGATGTTATCATGATTTCCTTCATTTATACTCCACTTTCCTCCCCAATGGGGACTCCAAATGGTATACCACACTCTCCCCACCCCCATTTTATTATTTATTTATTTATATTTATTTATCTGATTTATTCCCACAACAATCCTGCAAAGCAGGTTAGGCTGAGAGTGTGTGACTGGCCCAGTGTCACCCAGTGTACTTATACAGCAGAATTTGAATCCAGGGCCTCCCAGATCTTAGTCCGACACACATTGTTCTGGCCTTTTGGGGGTGGCTTTGTTACTACAAATACAAATACAATACCTTTATTGGCATAAAGGGCTTTGTTACTAGAGATGTCAGTCATTGCATTGTTCTTATTGACTGTCATTCACATGGATTTCGACTTCTTGTGCCTTTTCATGGTTAGTTTGGTGGGCACATGAGTGGCAGCCCCACAGGCCTGCTTCCGCGGTATATAAGTCGAACACATAAATAGATAGATGATAGATGATAGATAGATAGATAGATAGATAGATAGATAGATAGATAGATAGATAGATAGATAGATAGAAGAGAGCCAGTTTGGTGCAGAGAGCCAGTTTGGTGTAGTGGTTAAGTGTGTGGACTCTAATCTGGGAGAACCAGGTTTGATTCCCCACTCCTCCACTTGCCCCTGCTGATGTGACCTTGGGTCAGTCACAAGCTCTGGCACAGCTGTTCCTGAAAGAGCAGTTTGTGTCAGAGTTCTCTCAGCCCCACCCACCGCACAGGGTGTCTGTTGTGGGGAGGGGAAGGTGCTCTGAGACTCCAAGTGAAGGGCAGGGTATAAATCCAATCTCTTCTCTCTTCTTCTTCTTCTTCTAGATAGATAGATAGAAAGAAAGATAGATGATAGATAGATGATAGATAGAAGATACATAGATAGAAGAAAGAAAGAAAGAAAGAAAGAAAGAAAGAAAGAAAGAAAGAAAGAAAGAAAGAAAGAAAGAAAGAAAGAAAGAAAGATGATAGATAGATAGATGTGGAACTTTATTTACTGGCAGCCCTAAGTGCAGATTTTAGATTGTGGTCTTTTATGTGCGTGTGTGTGTATATGTTTTTGATCATTGTTGTTTTATTTACATTGTAAGCCACCTTGAGTTCCACAAGAGGGAAAGGCGACTAACAAATGCTTCAAAATAAATAAACAAGACAAATAGTTGCTCTGAGAAGGAGTCTGGCGATGTGGCACAGAAATTCACTAAAAATAAACGTGTACCGTGAACTGTAGAGATGGGAGGGAGGATCACAACCAATCATGACAACCAAACAACATTTTTGAATAAATGGAATTCTTGGTGCTGAATATTTCCTATTTCTATTCCTTAGGTACTGACACTTTACAAAAGCAAGTGGATGCTTTGGAAAACAAAATCCTGGCACTTCAAACTCAATTTAACAATTACAAAAATGGTAAGATATAACAAATATATCTTATTTACCTAGAACGATAAATATAGCTAGAATGATAAAAGAGTTGGAACACTTTCTCTATGAGGAAAGGTTAAGGCGCTTAGGGCTCTTTAGCTTGGAGAAACGACGACTGAGGGGTGACATGATTGAGGTTTATAAGATTATGCATGGGATAGAGCAGGTAGAGAAAGAGGTACTTTTCTCCCTTTCTCACAATACAAGAAGTCGTGGGCACTCCATGAAATTGCTGAGCGGTCGGGTTAGAACAGATAAAAGGAAGTACTTCTTCGCCCAAAGAGTGATTAACACATGGAATTCACTGCCACCAAAGGTGGCAGCGGCTACAAGCATGGACGGCTTCAAGAGGGAATTAAAAAAGCATATGGAGCAGAGGTCCAACGGTGGCTATTAGCTACAAGGTATAGATAGGGACTTCCTAATGGCACCTGGTATTTTTAGTGACTGTGTGACAGAGTGTTGGACTGGATGGGCCATTGGCCTGATCCAACATTGGCTTCTCTTATGTTCTTAAATATATGTCTTATCGCATTAAGAACGTAAGAAGAGCCCTGCTGGATCTCAGACCAGTGGTCCATCCAATCCTGTCTCACACAGGCCATGGTCACATGGTCATTTTGATCGGGTTTCACCACGGCTTCCTCTCGCATCTAAAATTGCTGATCACACGTCCGCATCCATCTCCCGCACCGAAGTGGGCTTATTCGCGGTTCCCTACTGAGTTTTCCTACACCTGGAAAATGAAGTACTTTCCAGATATTTGCGCTTTGAACCCGCGATTTCACCCATGTGGACAGCCATCTCTTGCAATGATCGTGATTAGGTCGTCTGAACGTCCTTCTCATAAGGAAGGCCGAGCGCCGAAGAATAGATTCTTTTGAACTATGGTGCTGGAGGAGACTCTTGAGAGTCCCTTGGACTGCAAGAAGAACAAATCAGTCAATCCTCAAAGAAATCAACCCTGACTGTTCCCTGGAAGGCCAGATAATGAAACTGAAGCTCAAATACTTTGGCCACCAAATGAGAAGGGAGCACTCACTGGAGAAGACCCTGATGCTGGGAAAGATTGAAGGTCAAAGAAGACGGGGACAGCAAAGGATGAGATGGTTAGACAGTGTCATAGGTGCAACGAACATGAACTTGAGCCAACCTCAGAGGACGGCGGAAGACAGGAGGGTGTGGCGTGACCTTGTCCATGGGGTCGCGAAGAGTCGGACTCGACTGTGCAACTGAACAACAAGATTGAAGTTCAAAGAAGATGGGGACGGTAAAGGATGAGACGGTTAGACAGTGTCACAGATGCAACGAACATGAAGTTGAGCCAACTTCAGAGGACGGCGGAAGACCGGAAGGCCTGGTGTGATCTGGTCCATGGGGTCGCGAAGAGTCGGACTCGACTGTGCGACTGAACAACAACAACTGCTGGATCCTTTAGCTGGAGATGCTGAGGGTTGAACCTGGGACCTTCTGCATGCCAGGCAGATGCTCTGCCACTGAGCCATGCCCACTCCTCTGTCAATCAAAAGTTGCAGGGCATGCAGTCCCGGGAAAGCACCTGATCTTTCTATTAGTAAAGGTAAAGGTTTACTTTGCTCGAAAGCCAGTCAAATCCGACTCTAGGGATGCGGTGCTCATCTGCATCTCCAAGCCAAAGAACCAGCACTGTCGAAAGACGTTTCCATGGTCATGTGGCCAGCATGACTAGACGCCGAGGTGCACAGAATGCTGTTACCTTCCCACCGAAGCAGTACCTGTTTATCTACTTGCAATTTCTTGCTTTGGAACTGCAAGGTTGGAAGGAGCTGGGAACAGAGACGGGAGCCGACGGCCCCACATAATTTTTTTCTGGTCTGTAGTTCAGCATCTTAACCACTTGAGCCACCGCAGCCACAATATTTCTGTTACACTAATGGAAAGTTGGATTTGTGCACTTCCTAGAACAGCAGAAGGAAGGAGGGATGATTTTGGCTGAGCATGGATGTCTATACGCTGAACTGCAGACTGTGGAAGGTCAGTAGTTCAGCAGTTCGAGACCCGGGTGCCGCATTATGGAGTGAGCTCCCGTCTCTAGTTCCAGCTCCTGCCAACCTAGCAGTTCGAAAGCAGGAAATTGCAAGTAGATCAATAGGTACCACTTCGGTGGGAAGGTAACAGCGTTCCGTGCGCCTTGGTGTTTAGTCATGCCGGCCACATGACCACAGAAACGTCTTCGGACAGCACTGGCTCTTCGGCTTTGAAACGGAGATGAGCACCGCAACCCTAGAGTCGGATTTGACTGGCTTTCGAGCAAGGGAAACCTTTACCTTTACCTAGGCAGATACACCGAGAAAAGGTCCATCAGTGGCTGTTAGCAACAGTGACTGAAGGGAACCTTCATATTCAGAGCAATAAACCTCCGAATCCCAGTGCTAGGTGGCAACATCAGGGTCCCGTTTGTTGGCCTTCCAGGGAAACTGCTTAGTCTCTTCAAGGTGCCACTGGACCCTAACTTTGTTCTATTGCTTCAGACCAACACGGCTGCCCACCTTGATCTATCTTTATGGAAGGCACCACATTAAGCCGCATGGAATGGAACTGCATCAGCCTCACAAAGTTGGCCTTAAAGGTGCTTGGCCACTGTGGCCGTGGTCACATGGCAAGCTTATCCTGATTTGTTCCCGCTATAGATTTGATCTTGAATATTTTTTCCCGAGTTGGGATGATCACACATCCCCCCCCCCCGAACCGCTTGCATCGTGCGACGAGGCTCTGGGCACCGTCCAGAGAACTGCGCTGCCCAAGTAGCTGCATGGCTTGTTTAAAAAAAAAAATGGCTTTGTCCATGCACATATACACATGGCCAAATCACCACTCCCACTGGGACTCACTGTATTCCCTTGTTTTTGCAGATTCCCCCCCACCCCAACAGTGAACAAATTTAACCGGTGACCTACAACTGAGCACTGGGGTCTATATGTGTGCTTGAACATTTATTTTTTGTTGTTCTTCAGTTGCACAGTCAAGTCCGACTCTTCGCGACCCCATGGACAAGGTCACGCCACACCCTCCTGTCTTCCGCCGTCCTCTGAAGTTGGCTCAAGTTCATGTTCGTTGCATCTATGACACTGTCTAACCATCTCATCCTTTGCTGTCCCCGTCTTCTTTGACCTTCAATCTTTCCCAGCATCAGGGTCTTCTCCAGTGAGTGCTCCCTTCTCCTTGGGTGGCCAAAGTATTTGAGCTTCAGTTTCATTATCTGGCCTTCCAGGGAACAGTCAGGGTTGATTTCTTTGAGGATTGATTGATTTGATCTTCTTGCAGTCCAAGCGACTCTCAAGAGTCTTCTCCAGCACCATAGTTCAAAAGAATCTATTCTTCGGCACTCGGCCTTCCTTATAGACCAAGTCTTGCAGCCATACATGACTACTGGGAATACCATTGCTTTGACCATGCGGACTTTTGTTGGCAGGGTGATGTCTCCAGCAGTAGGCAGCATGAAAGACCTCTGCCTGGGACTCTGGAGAGCCTCTGCCAGACTGAATAGACAACACTGACTGTGATGGACTGGTGTCTGATTCAGAACAAGGCAGCTTCATGCATGTTTATGTGTATTCCGTTATCTCTGCCAGTGCCTGGGGGGGGGGGCTTAAGGGGATGCTGGGGGAAATCCAACAATGCAAGGACTTTTGCAAGTGGTTGTACGATGATGCCCAAATTTACCCTTTTTTTGCAAAAACGCCAAGCCGGCTGTACACAAAAACAGCAAGCTAAGCGATTCTGCATCTGACATTCGCTCCACATTTTCTCAACTGGGAGGGGAAAGTGCAGCTCAAACCCACATTCAGATACCTCGGGGCAAGGTCGTACTGATTGCAAAGTCACCCCAGAATGGCCATAAAACAGCCATAAATCTATGCAGAAGGTACCATAAAATCCGACGATCAAAGGAAGTGGCGGCAGCATGCAATTCAGAAGATAATTTCTGTTACAATGTCGGCTTGCTAAAACAATGGAGGGGAAAGCCAATGCAGAATCGGAGCATATGGTCAGTGCCACGAAAGTCCCTCCGATTCGATCTCCTCAGCTTCACTCCCAGGCTGATTCTCGATTGGCTTTTCCCTCCGTTGTTTTAGCAAACCCACGTTGGAACGGAAATTCCCCTCTGCATTGCAGGCTGCGGTCACTTCCTTTGGCCATCAGATTTTATTCTAGCTTCCACACTCCCATGCCACTTTCACTTCCTTTGATCATCAGATTTTAGGGTACCTTCTGCATAGATTTATGGCCCTTTTTATGGCCGTTCAAGGGTTAACTTTGCAGTCAGTACAGCATTGGCCTGGGGTATTTGAATGTGGTTTTGAGCTGCACTTTTTCATCCCAGTTGAGAAAATGTGGAGCGAATGCTAGATGCAGAACCAGCCCTAGACTACAACCCATGTCACACCATGTCCCTCCCAGCAAGGAAGCTCTTCCCTTTGGTGCAATTGCATGACCTAGGGGGTCGAGTGCGAATGATGCAGCCACATGGGAGGGGTGAATTGCAGGGGTCTTTCTTTGGGGCAGGGATTTTATTTATTTTTTTTAAAGTAAAGAGATTCTCACTGCTGACACCTTTTCTTTCTGGTCCCAGCGGTGCTACTGCAGGGGTTGAAAGAGGGACAGAAGACTTTCATTTCAACTCGCCAGCGCGACACTTACACCAGTGGCAAAGCCCAGTGTGTGAAAGCTGGAGGGACCTTGGCCTGCCCCAAGAATGCTGCTGAGAACTCTGCCCTGCAAGAGCTAGCACTGAAGGATGCCATGTTTGCTTTTATCGATGTAACCGATATCCAAAGGGAGGGCAAATTTATGTATGCAAATGGGGAGCCGGTGAGCTACACAAACTGGAAAGAAGGAGAGCCCAATAACGCCCACGGAATCGAGGACTGTGTTCTTATCGTACCTGAATTTGGACTGTGGAATGATTGGAACTGTGATGCGAGAGAGCTCATAATTTGTGAATTCTGACCCGTTTACAAAGAGAGCTACGTTTCAGGGTTCTGCATGTTCTAGCACTGGGGAGTATCGCTTTACATTTCAGGCTGGATGACGGGAAAGAGAAAGTGAGGCTCCCCGACATGACATAGCCCCACCTACTTTGTTTGGGCTTTTTGAAAAAAATCACCAATTGCTCGTCCCTATACTATTGTAATGCTCTATTGCAGGGGTCCCCGACTTCTTTGAGCCCTTAGACACTCTGGGAATTCTGACAGTGTGGTGGGCGCAGCCACGAAATGTCTTCCACAGGACCCAGCCACACAACAGATGCTGCCACTTTCACCTTCAGTCACACAGTGAAGATCCTTGTTGCTGTGGTGGCAGCTGCTGCCAAAGTGATGTTTTTTTTAAAAAATCTGCAAAGCCGATCAAAATTCCAATGGCCAATCAGAAGCATTGCTGGCCAAAAGCTCTGCCCACTTTCTAAAAATATTTCATGGGACCCCAGTCTATTGGCACAATTGCCATATTCCTCCGAATTACCAGCTTATAGATAACAATCTAGCCCTTTTGTTTCAGAGATGTAAGGCGTGCACCGTCCTCTTTTATCTCCACAAACCTCGCTTGGCTTGGGAAAGATTGCAGCAAAGCAGGGGACAACCAACTAAGTGGGAGATTAGGGGAATCTGCATTGTACAGAAGCACCAATATTTCTTCTGTTCCTCTATCACCCCTACTCAAATGAGAATGGGAATAATCACAAGAAGTTGCTACATGCCAGAACGATTGGGACAAATGTGTACAATGGGGTATCGCTAGTGAAAGCCTGAGATTCCAAAAGACTTAAGCTGCACTTTTTGTAATAGTTTATGTGTGTCAGAGTACAGTTTTTGTTTTTAGTCTTTCTTAGCCAGTTTGGTGTCGTGGTTAAGTGCGTGGACTCTAATCTGGGAGAACCAGGTTTGATTCCCCACTCCTCCACATGCACCTGCTGGATGACCTTGGGCAAGCCGTAGTTCTGATAAGAGCTGTTCTCTCAAGGGCAGTTCTCAGGAGAGCTCTCTCAGCCCCACCTACCTCACAGGGTGTCTGTTGTGGGGAGGGGAAGGAGTTTGTAAGCCGCTCTGAGACTCCTTTGGGTAGTGAAGGGCCATGGGGTGCAAATCCAATCTCTTCTTCTTCTTAGCCACCCTGAGCTTTTGGGAAGAGTAAGATAATATAAACACAGTTCTTGTATCACCTTTAACTCTGGGAAAGGAATATACTCTCTCTCCAGCCTCCAAATGTCAGATTGAAGGTGCCATTCAGACATCAGACTGAGTAGCCATTTCCTGAAAATCACACATCAATTCCCAGGGGAGAATTTTTAAGGAAACGATTTCTGCTCTGTACGATGAAGTGCTAAAATGTAATGAGCTACTGATGAAACCACTGGGGCCTCTTTGCTTAGAAACAACAGGCCTCTGTTTAAATATGGGATTGAGAGGGGGCTCTTTTTAACTGAATATCAGATCACTTCTGGAAGCCTCCAAGATTACCTGTCTCCTGGAACTCATTTATGGCATACATCCATTCCTTTCTTTATTTCTCAGGTGCATTTGTCGCTTTATGTGAAGTACTTGAGGCAACATCCAACTGTGGTTTGTTTTTTTTAAAGACAGGGTTCTTTTTTGGTCCATACAAGGAAGGTCTCCATAGTTACATAAAAACAGCTGTGCAGTAATGTGGCTAAGGATGCCAAATAAAAAGAATGCCGCTGGATCGATGGCGTCGTGCTTTATGCCAGAAAGGAAAAGGGAGAGGGAAGGGGGGCCCTGGTAACAAGTTGCAGTATGCCTACAGTGGAAAACTGCAGCTCAGCGCAACATCTGACTGGAGCTCTCACGCCTAGATCATGGGTCCCCAACATGGTACCCGTGGGCCAATACCCACCAGTACCTTTCCCTGGCGCCCACCAAGTGTTTTTAGAAAGGAAGTGTGGCCATGAAGGGCTGGAGACCTGATTGGCTATTCAGATTAAAATAACACTGCTTCCAGTGGCAGCCGCCACCAAAGTGTTGCTTTTATTCTCCCTCACTACTCTTTCCTAGTGTATTTTTTAAAAAAACTAACCCCCTTCTCCCCTTCACTTAAGCTTCCCTATGCCTCCCGGAGCGGCCATTTTGTAGCTGTGCCCACTACCATGTGCCAGAATTCCTGGCCCCACTGGTGGACCTCCTGATGGTACCTGGTATTTTTTGGCCACTGTGTTACAGAGTGTTGGACTGGATGGGCCATTGGCCTGATCCAACATTGGCTTCTCTGATGTTCTTATATGGAGCAGAAGTCCATCAGTGGCTATGAGCCACAAGGTACAGATAGGAACTCTCAGTCTGGGGCAAGTGATGCTCTGGATTCTTGATGCTGGGGGGGGGGGGCAACAGTGGGAGGGCTTCTAGTGTCCTGGCCCCACTGGTGGACCTCCTGATGGCACCTGGTATTTTTTGGCCACCGTGTGACAGAGTGTTGGACTGGATGGGCCATTGGCCTGATTCAACATAGGCTTCTCTGATGTTCTTAAAGCTGCCCACAGGCTCAGAAGGATGGGGGGGGCCCTCGCCTCTGGCCTAGATCAAGGACTGCCATGTTCAAGATTTCCCCTAGGCATACATATTTTGCATATTTAACTGTCGCAGGGCTTTTTTGTAGAAAAAGCCCAGCAGGAACTCATTAACATAATAGGCCACACCCAACAGCAGAAACCCATTAGCATATTAGGCCACAGCCCTGACAGCACAGCTCATTAGCACATTAGGCTGCACCCCCATGTTACCAGAAGTGTGGTCATCCAGCCACTCCCACCTTTTGCTTCTTATTCTCTTTACCTTGTTTGTTGTCAAAACCCAGGGCCTTTTTTTGGAGCAGGAACTCCTTTGCATGCATGTTAGGCCACACCCCCCCATTGTAGCCAATCTTAATGCGTTTCTGCTGTTGGGTGTGGCCTATTATGCTAATGAGTTCCTGCTGGGCGTGGCCAACTTGGGAGCCAGCCGGAACTCCGTTCCTGTGCGTTCCTGCCCAAAAATAGCCCTGAACTGTTGTGTCAATTAAGTAAATCAATCCCATTTCCTCAGCGTGCTTGCCTCTGCATTGGGAGGGCTAGAGCTTTGCTCTGTGTGAGGAGCTGACCTCCAACCCCAGGCTGCTTAGTGCATCAGACTCAGAGAGCTGGGAGATTAGGGGTTAATGCCTCATGGAAAAGCCCCCCCCCTTCTCTCTGATTGGTCAGCGCCAGCTGAGGAGAATTTTATAAAATCTCGTGAGCAGTGTTCCCTCTAAGCTGAGTTAGTGTGAGCTAGCTCACAGTTTTTTAACCTCTGGCTCAGACATTTTTATCTCCGCTCAGGAAGGACGGGCTCCAGAGCAAACTAGTTTATGCAGTAGCCAAATCGCTCGCTCACAACTTTAATGCCAGCAGCTCACAAAGTAGAATTTTTGCTCATGAGACTCCACGGCTTAGAGGAAACATTGCTCGTGAGTCCTGTCACTTTGGATTTTGAATTGGCAGTTGCCAGTCAGGAAGAGTGTGTGTCTTAGTTTGAGGCAGAGCCGGCCCCAGGTTTTTTTGCACACTAGGTGCCCCCCCCGCCCGTTTGCCCCCTAATTTTATGATGCTCGTCTCCGCGAGCGCCAGCTGTCTGGTTTCTGGGGCATGACAGAGGCAAGGGGCGGAGGGGCGCTCCTGCTGCAGTCCACCCTGGCTGGAACCACAGGCCGCCCGCCAGGGGGACTTGGACACGCTCAAGTCGCTGCAAGGTGAGGGGCAGCTGTAGCTGGCCTCACTCCGGGACCCGGTGGGCGCCTCGCCGGCTCACCACGCTGCCCGCACCGGGAAGCTGAACTGCCTGCGCTACTTGGTAGAGGAGGCAGGGCTGGTGGGCAATGGCCGGGTCCACAACGGGGCCATGACGCTGACGCCACTGGCAACCTGGCCTGTCTCCAGTGGCTGCTCACCCAGGGAGGCTGTCGAGTCCAGGTAGGCATCGCCGTCGGAGGAATCCCAGGCATGCCTTGGAGAGCTTTGCGCCCCAGGCGCACGTAGCCAAAGAAACCTGACTCATCTCAGGAGCGTCTCTCTGTTTAGGTGAGGAAGGCTCCTCTTAAGGGGCCGCTCTAGGCAGCTGCCTAAAAATTGTCTATGACTGGCCGGCCCTGGTTTGAGGGAAACAGGCAAGTCACTTGGGAAGTGAAAGGACACAACTCCTAGTCTTTACTGTACACCAGCACATTTGGGGAGAAATCCAAACTTAACATCTAAGGGTCAGCACTAGCTGAATTCTGTTTGTTCACAATCTCCAGAACTGGGGCTTATGTCTGCCAGAAGAGGTTGGGTAGTTAGTGGGAAACTGCCAGCCCAGCCAAACAGAAAAGGGATATCGAGGATATTCCTTACCCAGTTAGCCAGAGGGTTCAACTCAGAAGGGAAACGGTCTTAGACTCCTCAAGAGTACAGAAAGGGAAAGTTATAATTCCAAAAGGGAAATATTGATATTATTGTGTAGTCGGTTGACCGCATGGCTAGGCCCTTGCAATTCCATAACATACTGCACGCTTGACTCGTACACAACTAAGACAAAGACAAACGGCCAGGAGACCAACTATATACATATCCCGGGGACACCCCTGGATCCCATTGGGGGGTTTGAATTTCCCTCCCGTGTTTCTATTGGCTCCCTGTTGGAGAGCCCAGGAGCCCAGTTCCCATTGTTCACCCAGGGTCAAGCTGGCCCCTGGTGGAGGCCAGAGGACACAACAGATATACAGGAAGAAAGTTCTAACTTCCAGCGACTGAGATATCGTTATGAAACTCCGTCGCTGTAAGAAATCTCCAAGACAAACAAATCCCTCACAGTAAAGAAATAAGTCTCTGAGAATTCAAGCTTTAACTATATTCTGTTGCCTGTTCAAGATATTCTAATTTTCTTCTGAAGAACGACCGTTTAAAGATCTCATAATAGTTCCCTGCCCTGTTCCTGTTACAACTGTGCCTGTTCCATAAAATCAGCCTTTTTATTTCAAGTTTACTTCGTGTCAAGTGCCATTTCCAAAAGGGTTTTATAAGAGGGCTCCCGCTGAGTTACAATAAAAATCTCTGGCCGGAGAAAAATCCAAATAAATTCTTTAACACTGGATGGGACACAAAGAACGTTATAAGTTTATAATTCAAACACGCTACTAAGCTACAAAACACTGCTCAGTCAGAGCAGTGGTGAACAGTGTTTTGGCGAGAAAGTCTGCCTCACAGAAGAGAAGGAGCAGGGATCCGACATAATCTTTTTTTTAAAGGTTATTTTAAGTAGGGTG